TATCATCAAATAGAAGTATCTGAAAAAGATAGACAGAAAACAGCTTTCAGTACCCAGTAAGGACACTATGAGTTTACACGTATGCCTTTCGGCATAAAGACAGCTCCAGCAACCTTTCAGAGAGCCATGGACAATGTCTTACGGGGTCTGCACGGTTTACACTGCCTAGTGTACCTAGACGACATAATAATTTACTCCATAAGCTTACAGGAACACATAGACAAATTACGAACAGTATTCGACAGACTACGACAGACAAACCTAAGAGTTCAGCTAGACAAATCAGAATTTATGAGGAAAGAAGTATTGTAACTATGACATACGATCACTTGCGACGGACTGAAATCTAATAATCAAAAAATAAAGCTATTTTAAATTATCCCTTACCAAAGACCACAACCGAGATTAAAAGCTTCCTCGATTTGGTAGGCTATTACCGACGTTTTATAAAAGATTTCGCTAAAGTAACTCAACCCATGACAGCACGCTTGAAAAAGAAACGTTCGATGCCTATTGACGACAGTAAATATGTAGAATCATTTCAAAAATGTAAAGAACTTCTGACAAATGCCCCCATATTGCAATACCCTGACTTTAAAAAGCCATTTATATTAACTACACATGCTTCAGAATTTGTTTTAGGTGCTGTCCTTTCACAAGGATCTATAGGACAAGACAAACCCATTGCTTATGCTAGTCGAACCCTTAACGATGCCGAAAAACGTTACCGAACGTTTCGAGCCGAACCGAAACGTTTCGAACGCACCAAAAGAGTCGTATATGTAGATAATGAGAAAGAACAAAGACACAGTCCAAAAATATCATGTCGGAAAAACTTGCCATCGTGGTATTAAAGAACTCCTATTGCATATAAAACGCTCATACTTTTGGCATAATATGCAATCACCATTCCGCTTGCCGCTCCGCTCTCGTGCGGTCGTGCCAAGTAGTCTGCGCTCCCGTCCACGCACGGAAGCACCCCTCTTCCCCCGCGCGCCTCCGCTCTCCTGTTTGCACCGGTCGGGCTGTTGCCGTTGGTGAGTCATCTTTCTTAGCACCGTTCTTGCCCCCTCGCTCCGGCGGGGAGGTCTGAGCGATTGTCTTGCTTTGCATTGTTATTGTTTCTTGTTATTTTTATTGTTTATGTTTCTTGTTACTATTTTGTTAACATTGTGTTACTGTTTCTTGGAATAGGCGTCACTTGCTCTTTTCAGAGCAAGCCTTTTGTTCTTCTCAGGACAAAGGGACCCCAGTTCTTAGAATACAGCGCTAACCTCCCAGTCCACCCAATATGTCTTCCGTAGACATAAGCCAAATTGTGAACCAAATTATGGCCATCATCCGTCAATTTGGCCAAAATCAAGGAGTGGCCGTCAATATCGACAAAACCGCTCCCCTCAGGGCTCTTGTCCCCATTGCCCTTCAGGCATGTAACCCTCCGCCAGCCGTCGCGGCATTCTTAGCGGAAAATGATTCAGACGCCATGGAGCACTCGGATACCGTGTCTGAAACTTCATCCACCCGTAAGAGGTCCGCTCCTACGTCAATCTCCTCATCTAATAGCTGTTCCTCGAATTCATAAGAGTCCGTTCAATCAGTTATTGACACGACCCCCTTCACGGAAGTGAAATCCAAGCGCGGTTCGAAACGCGCTGCGACCTCCGCGACTTTCAGAGGCTGCCCTCGCACGCCTCGCCCCAATCTAGGCAAAAAAGCCGCCAAAAAAAGCTCCGCCACCGGTCAATGACCGTATATTACCGGCTCTCCCATCCAAAATGCCCCTTCAGGGCAGCTCTCAGTCAATTTAGGACCTATATCGGTCCTCTCAGGATCCCTACAGGCCTCCTCACCTTCGCCCACTAGGGCCCCGACATCAGGCGGAACCCTCTTACGCCGATAACGTAGATACAGTACACACTGCTATCCGCAATATCGACGTAAGAGAGATCGCAATTTTAGCACGCAAACTGCGTGCTTTTCAGTCCCTTCAGGACCGTCTGTTCGCGCTTACTGAGTACCAACACCTTCTAAACTCAATATAATTAGTCATCCCATTCGTAAGTGCCTTAATTAGGCAGCAATTCTTCCCAGCGGCTACTCGCCGCTAGCACCCCCCTTTCACCCAAGGGGGGTCGCGTTCGATACGGCTTAAAGATGTCTAGCTAGATTGTTAAGCCAGTCCTATAAAGCCTAAACTCCAATTGACGAAAACCCAGAATAAACCCCTTGAAGAAATTTTCATAGATCTCTTTAAAGTCGAAAGTCACTATTATTTAACAATTATTGATGCCTTCAGCAAATTAGGACAGGCCTTTGAAATAGTTAACAGATCGACTCCCGATTCGAGTCAACAACTAAAACATCTAGGAAGGCTAAAGAATTATTTGCCTCTAACTCCATATAATTCTTTAGCCTTCCTATATGTTTTAGTCATCCGAAATCCTGATAATACTATTGGTCATACTGTGTATAGGAAAAAGACCCATACCAACCGATATCTAAATGGTGAATCTCACCATCATCCTTTACAGTTAGCTACCGTGGGTAAATCTTTGTTTCAGAGAGCACGAGGGATCTGTGACAGAAAGCATCTGGCTGCCGAGCTTCAGCATGTTTAGCAAGTGTTGCAAGAAAATAAGCTTCGGGTCTCGCGCCTACATCACAGTGAACGAGTGAAGCCGGCCACAGTCGAGCGCGCGCCTGCTGTACAGAGGAGTCACAGACAAGATTGGCTACATCTTGAAGCGAGCTTCCATTAAAACATACTACAAGCCGCCGAAGAAGATTAGTCAATTTTTACCATCCATCAAATGTAATATTCCTCTGCAGGATGCAGGTGTGTACAAGCTAGATTGTGAATGTGGTCTCTCTTACATAGGTCAAACAAAAAGATCTATAAAAACCCGCGTGAAGGAACATATAGCTGACGTCAAGCATCTACGCTCCGGGAATTCTGCAGTCTGCGAACATGTTCAAGATCGTCCCCACTATTACATTCGATTTAATAAACCACATATCCTCGCAAAAGAACACCGATTCCTACCAAGGATGATACGCGAGGCTATTGAAATTAAAAAAAACATCCAAATTTCAATAGAGAAGATGGATGAGTGCTGCCAGCTGCTTGGGAACCTATAATTAACGAAATTAAACCCGAACCCAAGCATACCACTGCAAGACTTCATGATACTATAAGCTCGTTTTGCGTAAATTGGACTAAAAATTAATATTCAAAAACTGAAGGTAGCCGGACTAACTATGACATTGGGACGTCAAACATTTCAGTCCCCCCCTCCCGTGACCATGGGTGCTGTAAAGCACCCGAAACGTCGGGATAATAAAAATAAATTAAAGTAATTAAACGCGATAAAACCGTAAATAATAGTTTTATTCAAATTGTTCGAGATAGAAATCACTTTAGCTTTGAGTAGATTAGGAATTTTACATCAGTCTGTAATAGAGTCTAAAAGATTATTAATTCTACTCGAAAAATTAGTCAATTAGACAATCTTATATACCCTCCTACATTAGAAAATTTAGTTAAGATAGAGCAAACTATAATATTGAAAGATTATTTAAAAGGAAATGGAATAACTTATCTTTTGGAAATACCTCTCGTCACTAAGGACACTTATATTTATTATAAGCTATATCCCTTACCTGTATTATCCCATAACCGTACCTCTGTCATTTTACCTAAATTTCCATACCTTTTAGTGAAAGGGTCGATAATTAGACTGCTTACCTCCTATATATCCTTGTCAGGAAGTCGATGAATACAGTTTCCTCTGCCTTGAGGACGACACATCCCAACTAATTAAGGATATTGCATCACAGATCTGATGACTTATGTTGAAAATATATTCTCATGTATCCAAGTTCCACTTATTTTGGAAGCCGTAAGGGTGCAGCTTATACAACCTAACAGATGGATTATCTATGCTAAGGAGTCTACTTTACTTTCCGAGATCTGCAATAGTTAAATAGCAAGACAGAAGATTCATGGCACATACATCCTTACATTAGACGGTAACTGTGCAGCTAAAATTAATCTAACAAGAAACCTTATGGAAATTGAAAGCATTTCACCCCTTATATTACCTATTATTAACCTACCTGCGATAAACTTATCTCTTGAGATGTCAGCCCCGGTGCAGCTCAACCTAGAAGGAATAGATCTTGCGGACCTCAAATTTCTGTCAGTTGCATTAAGAAAAAGTGAAATTAAAAAAAAGTGAAAGTGAAAAGACAATTGTGGTGATTAAAAAAGTTAGTCTATGGACCATTTTATTGTATGGACTGTTAATAATTATTGTAACCTGTGTCTTAGTTCATAAGTATCATTTAAACTTGTTCAATTTTTGTATTCGAAGTTCCCCTGTAAACGAGAACTTCGAACTTGAGGAGGAAGGTGTTACGGGTGGCGAGACCCACCAAGATGTCCGCATCAGCAGAATGTTCTGATTGCAGACCACAGGTATACGCTGAGTGGGCAAACGAAAACTGTCGAGCTCCTGTGTGGGCTCTCATCAACTTTATTTTAAGGATAGAATTTTAAGTTAGTCTTAAGCAAGTTGTTGTAGCGATTAACATCTTTAATTAATAAATTAGTATTGTTAAAAAGTCCTCCGGCCCCTGCATAACTTGACTTCCTTTAGTTAATTTAAACAATACATCTATATTCATGTATGTATATAGAATATCACATGCCAATTTATGAGTTTAGTTTATTTTTGTGACAAATGTTTTATTAATTTATTTATTTTTACTTTAATTAAAACTGTTTAACCAATTATGTACAATGATTAAGAAGATTTGGCGGTATTAATAGTAAAAGTTTGAAATATAATAAAATTAACAACTTCTTGGAAAACAAAAATAATTAATAAGGGTGTATAAATGTTATGTATCTAAGGCAAATATTTAAAAAAAACTCAAAAAATGAACATACCGATTTTTTATATTTAAATATGTGACGGCTATACTGTTAATCTACTCACCGTGAAAAATTGCAAGAAGTCGCACGTAGCGTTGCGGCGCCCTTTCGTCGTAGTACGCCGCGTACAGAGAAACGGGAGTTCCCTTGACCCGCTGCCAGGAATCGGAGTATGCGTGAGCGGACCAGGTGCGATTCTGAAACATTATTTGCTTGAAGTGATCGTAGATTCAACAGCTAGAACTTTATGTAGTATGTTATTTATAACTTAAGAATTATTGGACAAATACAGAAGAAACCAAACGTAATGATTTCATATATTGATTTATTTTTCGGAATTTTGTATATTTACCTAACTTACTGAAAACGAGTTCACTTATAACTTAAGTCGACAAAGTAGGCTTACATCTACAAAATAAAAATAAAATGTACTAAGGATTAAATAAGGATAATCGTTATATGAAATATACCTAATTTTTAATAATAGTACACGATTCTTAAGTACATCTAATAATTTGTTTAAAGCACACCGATAAATTGCATACGTCAGGTCAAGCGTACGCGAGACTCTTTATAAAATTAACTTTTTCAACTGAACACCTATTTAAAAGAAACAAACTCAAAGCCCAGGAACATCTCAATACATCACAGAAATTCAATACTGAATCAGTTCATTCTTTGTGGAGATCGACGTGCACAAGTACACAGACAAACAGACATAAAGTCACACAGATTTTATAGCAGATTATAATAAATATATAACAGATTTTATAATACATGGCCTGGATGCTCACTGAACGCAGCAGAATACATCATATAACTTTCTCATCTTATCTTTCCCGTTTTCAATTTGTAATGCTTATCAGTAACGATCGGAGTTAAGCTTGAATGCAGTATCAGCGACAACTGGAGGAATATAACCCATGAAATTGTTTATGCGATAATCATGATCATCATTACAGCCTTTCACAGGACCACTGCTGATCATAGGCGGTAATATTTAAAGTAAATAAGATGCAATAAGATTTTTTATAGAATAAGGAAGGAAGGATAAGGAGCACACAGTCCATCTGATGGTAGGTGTATGCTGAGGATTAAGATGGAGTGTCTCGTTTTTTTAGTAAAAAGGGTCACCGGTTCTCTACACTCACCATAAGAAGCACAGCAGCATTAAGCTGTTATTCTACGCTGGTATTCTGTGAAAGGTTCGTCCTTCTCCTTTCGATTCTATCATATCCATTTTTTACGTGGTAGAGCCATGCTGCAATTATATTAGTAGTATAGTTGTAGCACGAATGGGTCGGCTCGACCGGGGAAGGACCACGCTCTCACAGAATACCAGCGTGAAATAGTAGCTTTATGCTGCTGTATTTCGTATGGTGAGTGCAGAGAACCGGAGACCCTTTTTACTGGAAATGAGGCATTCCATCTCAGTCCTCACAGGTGACAACGCATCTGCATTTTGATTTGTAATGGAAGATAGATGTAGCTGTCTATGGGCCGCAGCAACCACTTACCATCAGGTGGACTGTGTGCTCGTTTGTCACCCTATCCTATAAAAAAAAAAAAATATCCATAATATAGTTGCAGCGTGGCTCTACCACGTTATTTATAGTACGGTGTTACTTCGTTATTTATTATTGTTTATTACTACGTTCGAAAATTAATTCTTTAGAAGAGTAATGTCACTCGTTCGTTGCTTTCTGTCTAAATTACGAATGTGTTTATTGAAGGTAACTTTTTACCTTAAATAAGATGATAAAGTAATGTAATTATTGATTTCCTAAATATATAAATAATTGAATTAAATAAATCAAATTAGTAAAATTAATTGCATTGATTGATACAAATTTAGTAATTAGGTTAAATATATTGATAAAATTAATCGAAAAATGAAAAAAAAAATACGCAAATCGTTCACAAGTTTGCATTTATTTGATTTCTTTTGGTAATTTGTCGAAAAATAACACTAGTTGTTATTAAAGGGTTTTTGTAATTTACCCAATTAGCGTTTCATTTGTTGAAAAAAATGTTTTATTCCAACCGTTCAAAAATTTACAAGTTTTTATTTTCTCATGGTACTTACTTTATTGCAACATAACAATAAATATTATTTTTAGAGATTCCTGGTGGTTGGGTAAACAATTGGCGTTGACAAGAAACCATTTAATAATGGTAGTGCCAATCGATTAGCAAAATAACATCTTATTTATTGAATCTTCATCATTATCAACGTCCGTAAGCTCTCGAATTGCGGATAAGAAGTTAGGGAAATTGATCCTAACCATAAGGTTCTACAGACATATTTTTTAATTAAAATAAAAGCAATACATCTAATTTGTACAATAATTACAATGCAACTGTGAACACAACACATGGGTACGTGCGCACACATGGATTTATAATCAGAAATCAGATTACGACGAAGTAAAAAATAAACGTGCATGAAATATGACTGCAACGGACGGTTACATTACGAAGGACACTATCATTATAAAAATCGAAATACTTGCGGTTGTAATCATCATGATCACTGATTTTGTAGCAACTACGTGACACGAAATTGGCGCACTATAAGGTAGCAGAGGTTCAGAAGTTTAAAATAAGTAATTTTTAAAATTGGTATGATTTTCTTGATAGTATGTTATACTCGTTTTCATGACGCAGAGGTCGTTAAATCATTTCAATGCCCTGGAACCTGGGAAATTTTTGTTATAAAATCGTTTTAGAATCTGGTTGTGTTGTGATTCTGTCTGTGTCTTTGACACCCCACCACAGTCTATCTCCGATGTACCTGATTTGCTTATACGCGTTTTTTTATTGATTTTGAACACAAGCGTAAAATAGCAGAATAATGATGTATTTCGTGTGGTGAATGACAAGCACTAGTGACCGTTTTACTGGTAACGAAACATTTCATCTAAATCCTCAAGGATATCGAAATATTAATCCACACAATGTATCAGCATTTTATTTTTTACTCAAGAATAGATTGTGCCTATATTCAGTAACATCCTTTTTACTATAAGATGGGCTGTGTTAGTTCGCACGAAAAACTATAAGTAAATTAAATTTTTTTTGCAAATAAATAAAGAAAAGATTATTTTTAAATAGTATATATACGCACATATACTTTTTTAATAATTAATCATGTAGTCGTGGCCTACAAAAAACTACTTACACAATAATATTTTTTTCTTAATTAATCTCTACAGTAAAATTACCTTGAATAAACATTAATTCAATACTGAATGAGGGCTTATACCTTAGAAGTATTTGTCAAAAGTATCATGCTTAGCAGGCGGAGATCGCATTATTCTAGGCATTTAGTTCTAGCTAAATTTGAAACAAAAATTAAGCAAACTGTGGTAATATCTACCAAGTCCACGCCTTTTCACACATCATCATCATTACATTTTTATACATGGTAGAGCCATGCTGCAGTTATATTAGTAGTATAGTTGTAGCACGAATGGGTCGGTTTGACCGGGAAAGGACTACGCTCTCACAGAATACTACTACAATACTTATTCATAATGTCTTTATAAGCTTTATAAAAAAAATTAAAATTTATTGAGTTAAATCCATTTCATCCATTACCTACAACCCATAAGTCCACTGATGAACATTGGCCTTAATCATAGATTGCCTCAGGGTGGATTTTGCTATAGTTGCCATGCTCTGCCAGGAAGATGCTGCTGCCGTACTCTGTTTCATTTTTCCTCTGTGACCTCTTACGACACCTTCGGGATAATACGGGGTAGTGGATATTCGTACACCGCCACTACACGGTAAAGTTTAAATGCCTCAAACAAATTATTTATGCATATATTAGTCAATTGGAATAATTAAGATTGAGGATGATTAACACATTTATGATAATTTACATAATTTGCTAATTTGCATATTAAAAAATTAATTTTAGTAGTCTGAGTATTAAAAGTAAAAAATAAGAATGCAAATTGCATATAAAACTTGCCTATAATAACTAATGAACGGATGTGTACTACAGCATTTACAGTTTTACGACATAAAATTACGAACATCATCAACTATACGTCAATAAAGATGAAGGTACAAATCCTTTGATAGTCGACATCAAGCCCCGTCGACTAATAACATATAGTTAAATACTGATGAAAGAATCAATAGAACAAAAATATTTTTAATTTTTTGTCCGACTATGTTTACCCGTTTCTGAAAGCTTTGATTTTTTTATTAGTTAAGTTTACTTTTACTCTAGACATTTTGATTTTCGACTTCGATTTTGAGAACAAACCTTTCCATATTTTGTTTAAAGTGACAATTAACAACATTGATCCTGTGTTAAAAGCTTTTACTACGACCATTGCTTGTTTTCAAATTAACTGTTTTTAATGTAAATTTATGTATGACCACAAAATAAAAATCAAATTCTACTTGAAACTCATTTTCGCTTAGATAATGTCGTGGCCACTAAGAAATTAAATAAATTAAATCAGACTGTAAAAAAGTATATTTTAAATAAAACTGCAAGTTAAATATTTTTTAAATAGTAGAGATAAATTAGTTAACTTTTCCATCTAAGAGAAATATCATGCGACCAATTTTGAAAAAGAGTTTCACAAATCCGTAACCACTCTTATAGATTATAAATAATATGCGTCACAAACTTTAATAATGGTAACACTAAGAAAAAATGTAAAAGAATGTTACATTCATATACTGATTATTTTGCTGATTATACTGGGCAGAATAATGAGTTCTTCCGTGCAATTTAACTTTTTTATGTGACAGAATAAATTACCAGCTAAACTAATAATAGGTGTAGTCCTTAACAGGGTTCGGATAATTTAAAAATTACAAATTAAAAATTACACTAATGTGTTTTGTGTGATGAGTAACGAGTACACACATTTATTTATTTTTTGTATAGGGATGGATAAAAACGTTTATTTTCCTATCACAAACTTTTTATTTTCTTATTTTAAACATTATACTAGGTAAGACCCTGCCCCTGATCAAAGGGGGGGGGGGCAAACCGGGGCACATGCCCCGGGCGGCAGTTTTAGGGGGCGCGAAAATTATAATATAATATGGATTTAAAAAAAATTGCTCCATAAAGCGTTCCAACGCACATTGTTCTATCAATTATTCGCTTGATCTTAAAACGTCCAGTTGGTTTTTGAACACATCCTAAGGTTTCATACCGAAATAT